CAAGTAACTCTTCCCTTTCACTATCTGCCTTAAGAAAAGGGCTTGATGGAGGCTGAGGCAGGAGGATCAAAAGTTCAGGCCAGATTGGAGTAAAAACAAAGACTGGGACTGTGGCTCAGTGGTTGAGTGCCCCTCAGTTCAATAAGTGCACCACAAATAAAATAAGAGAGCGACCTGATGCAGTGGTACACTCAGGAGGCTGAGGCAGGAGGATCACCACGAGTTCCAGGCCAGCCTGAGCTACATAGTGAGACCCTGTTTCCAGAAATGGGGGTGGGGGACACAGAGAGGGGGGTAAACTGATGATTTTCATGACTTGAGAAGATCTGTTTGTTTTCCCCCTTCAGTCTGTTCATTTGATGCTGGAGCAGGGTGGCAGGATGATTTCAAGCAGCACACACTTGCCCTCCCTGTAAGCCCCTGGCCATCCAATACATTCCAGTAGACAAAATGTAGCCCACCGGAACACTTTCCTATTCATCAGTGTACCGATCCACCCTAGGCCATAAGCATCAACATGAATTTTTCTGGCTCAGTTAGAAAATGAAGATGATCGTGGAGCAGAAACATCATCAGGGTGCTGAGACGGTGGCCAGATGTGAGGCTGGCCCAGAGCCTTACGCGACCCTAGAGGATGAGGTACCCCCCTTTGTTAGGCACGAGGAGGTGCCTGCCCTGGGGAGAGTTTGAATTCCGTCTCATCTCTTCAGTTCACTGAACCACGAGGGAGGCAGGAACTCATCAATGACAGGCATCTTGGAGTCCAGCAGTTTCCAAAGCACTACTTGTTTTTCAAGCCCCATGTTCCCAGAATGGGCACATTTTCCTTATTGGGAGGTAGGAAAAGTCAGCTGGGAGTGGAAATCTTTAGCCACTAGGGAGGAGTGCAAACTGGTGGAGTCTGTGTCCTGGCAGGTGCTGTGTGAACGGCTTCCCAGGGCTTTCCTGCCTTGCTCCAGGGCTGCGGCTGCTCCTCTCTCCCACATGGCAGGTCCCGACCCGGAGCTCCTAATCCCTGGGAATTTCCTGGTACCTGGGTGTCAGGAGGGTCCATTGTTCCAATGAGGTGACCCTTAGTGGGGGGAATAGGTTCTGGAGAGACCAAGCCATGCTCAGAAGTAGAACTTTGAGTGCACTCTCGGTCCTCAGGGAGCAGAGAGCTGTCTTTTGAGTGAGTAATTGGCCATGCCTATGTGCTGATGCCTCTGGAGCAATCTCTAAAAGACAGGGTTCAGGGAGTTTCTGGGTGGCTGAACACACCAGTGTGCTGGGAGGGTGGGGCACCCTAATTCCACAGATGCACTCGGGACCCATTTAGACATCACCCCATGCACCTCTTCACTTGGCTAGAATAGCCTTTATAATAAATTGACAGTAGCAAGTTAACTTATTTTCCTGGGTTCTATGACTTGCTTAGCAAATTACCAAACTCATGAAGGGAGTAGTGGGAGTTTGTGATTTGTAGCAAAGTTGGACATAAGTTATAGGTGACCTGGGACTTACGACTTGGAATTGGCACCTGACGTGAGGGGCAGTCTTTGGGGGCTGAAGCAGTGAAGTCTGTGCTAACTTTGATTAATGACAGAATTGAATGGACTTGGATGCTGAGCTGCTATCGAAGGTGGTGTCTCTTTTTACAAGGACACTAATCGCGTGGGACCTGGGCCCCACCCTCATGACCTCATTCAAACCTAAGGACTCCCAGAGGCTTCTCATCTCCAATATCATCACAACAGAGGTTAAGAATTCAAACGATGAATTATTTGGGGTGGGGGTGCGGAGACAATTCGGTCCCTAGAAGCCAGCAAGCATTGATTCAAGGACTGTTGTTAAGGCATTACATTTTCAGCTTGGTGATCGTTCCCAGACTACTGGCCCACTTTGTGTCACTGAAGGAGGCAGGATTCTTTATGTGACAGTGTTGACCCATCTTGTCCTTCACTCATTTATTTCTGAGCGCATTTCCTGAGGGAAGAATCTGGAACTGACGCTCCCATGGGAAGCAGAAACGGACAGATCAAGGGCCCTGGATGTCTGTGGGGCTGGGAGGGTAGCAAGCACCTAGGAGTGTGGAGGAGGAACAGCACAGGCTGGGGTGTGGGAAAGGAGTTCCAGAGGATGTGCCACAAAGGATGACCGACACTGACCCAGTCAAGGGTGTGGGCTGGGGATTTAGCTCAGTGGTTCCACTGCCTGCCTCACAAGCATAAGGTCTGGAGTTCGATCCCAGGTACAAAAAAACAAACACAAACCAAAACAACAACAACAACAAAAAACAAAAACCAAAAAACAACAAAAAGGAAGGATGTGTGAGGGGCTTCCTGGCAGAGGGGATGGCATGCGACTGTTCTGGAGATCTGAGAAACCACAGCTGTCCAGGGCCACACCATGAACTTGGTCTAACCAGCAACCGAATCCAGTCTAGGCAGACACGAGCTATAGACACTCGGGAATAGATTGTGAGGGGTGCGCTGTACCCTGAAGTTATGAGGGGTCCTGAAGGGGTTCAACCAGGGAGTGAGTGATGAGACTCACAAAGGGAAGGGTTAACCAGGCAGCAACGTGGAAACTGACTGGAAGGAAGGAGAGGCTGGTGACAGGGTGGGAAGTTGGGCGGCTGCTGAGTTCTAACCAGTGAGATGGGAGGGTTTATAGTCAAAGAGGAGGGCAGGAGGAAAGGAAGGGATTTTAGAGACAGAGGAGGAAGAGGTGTTGAAACCTGGACGGGGGAAGGAAAAGAAGCTCCAGCTCAGGCCCTAGGGATAGAAGGACAAAAACCAGGACAGAATCGGGCAAGGGACATCACAAGGAGTCTCAGACACTTGCCTGGGATCTAATGGCTTTGGGATCCCGGGTAGCATGCAGGGTCATGTCAAGATGATTGCTTGGACATGCAGACATAAGACAAAATATGAATTCCTCATTTTTTTTTGTTTCTTTCCTAAACATTGCCATCATTCTCTGACCCAATCAGAAGCCTCTATACAGTCTCAAAGAGAATTAAAATACAATAGTAATAAAGGAGAGAAAATGTTAATACCTTTCTTTTTTAAAAGCTTCAAAACTAAGCCCTTAAAAGTCAAAAGGTGAGGCCCTTTGTGGAGCAGAAGTCATCGTTTATATCAGAGAGTTGCTGGCACCAATGTTCCTTCAGGCCCGATCATCCAAGAGTTAAAGACAGAGCAGGCTCTTTTGCTAAGCTAAGCCGTGGAACCCAGGGCTCTAAATACAGAAAGAACAGATCTGGGTTAGGTACTGCACTGAGGGTGCAAGATTTGGAGATTAACAATTGCAGTTCACAGGCAACAGCATCAACCTTGTAAGTTCAGAAGTTTCTGTAAACAACCCCTGGAGGTGCGTTTATGGTTACACAATGGGGAATAGGATGGTTATAAGCCTTAGAAAAGGGCTTTCACTTTCTCACATGCTTTTGACCTCATCTTACACCTGTGTCAACATTGTCATCTCCCCAGAGTTTCTTTTCACAAGCAATGGTTAATTAAGGAGCTTTTGGGTTCCGGCTTTAGGCAGGATTTTATTAAGCAGCAAGAACAGAACATAGAGGCATAAAATGTAAGGTATAATAAAAAATATAGAACATTACACATATTTAAAGAAAAATGGTGAAGTGTGTAATATTAGAAAGGGAATAGAGAAGGCAGTGAGATGAGATTCTATGCTTCTATGCTTGGAAGAGGGTGACCCAACATGGGAAGACTCTGGTGTTGGAGGTGTGTGTGTGTGGGGGGAATGAGTTCATTTGTTAAAAATGAAGTTCAAACTCAACACTGTTCAAATCCTGGGCTTTACCAATTATTAGCTCTGTGACTTTAGGCAAATTACTTAGCCTTTCGTTCCCTCAGCTTCCTCATTTCGAAAATGAGGTTTATGATCATAATAACCTATGAGATGCAGTTGCTATGAGGAATAAATGAATTAGTATACGTAAAATGCTTAAAACGATGCCTAACACAATAGATACTAAATAATGTTTGCTATTGTCTCTGTTGTTTGATTTTGAAGAAAAAGAACCATGGGAAGAAAAAAAAATGAAGAGGTGAAGACTTAGGAGAGAAAAGTGATTTGGAAGGCATGTGGGAGGCGGAGTGGGTTGTGGAGAGCTGTGCTTCAATTCATCACCTTGGGCGGAAGGAAAGATCTTTTCTCTTGATGCTGGGGAGAAGGGCTAAAGAGGGCTATAGATGCACATAGATTTGACTTTGAAAGGTGGAAGTTGTGCAAATGGATGATCTCCATTTCTTCCTCCTTTTCCTCCTCCTCCTCTTCTTCTTTTTTTACTTTTTGAGACAGGGTCTTACTATGTACTTCAGAATGACCTTGAACTCACAGTGTAGCCCAGGCTGGCCTGGATCTCACTGTGATCCTTCTGCCTTGGCCTCCCAAGTGCTGGGAGTACAGGCTTGTGCCACCACGCCTGGCTTCTTTTTAATTTTGAAGAGCTGAAGAGGTGGGTGGAGAGACTTGTTACCTCTTGCTGCCCCAGACCCTTGTTCGGCCTCCTGACAGATCTCCTTGCTGCCTCCTTTTTCCAGTACTCATCTCCAACACAACACAGAACATGGAGTGATCAATAAATTCTTCTTTAATTGCTCTGGCAGACAATAGTTACATAGCGAAAGAAGTTTCTCATTTAAAAAAAACAAAGCAATTCGTGATTGCATATGAAGATACATGCAAGGTATCTGTTTCTCTTACAGACTTGTAGATGGAGTGGCCAACACACATATAAAACATTCCCCAAAATGGGCAGGGATCATTTCTGAAACTTAGAAGTAATGTTAACTGCTGTCACCAGGAGAGTACATTGAGAAGTGTGTGAATGTGTATGTGTACAAAAGCACATGATATATGTGCCGTGTCAATATGTGATAAAAACCGTAAAAACACAACAATTCATTCTTTCTGGGCCCACCTGGAATGTTGACTTTCCTCAAAATGCCGAAAAGGGCACTCTCTTTGGCCGTCTGCCACGGTGTGCTCCTGTTAGGGAAGTACCCCAGTTTCTCACGTTCAGTGCGTGTCCCTGTGGAGGGGACGGCACGTATATTCTTTTTCCCCAGAATTTGTTCCTCTGACGGGCAGGCTGTGGCTGTAAAATCACTATGTCCTTTCTTGCGCTTCTGTTTCTTCCACTCGCTTTGAAACAATCCCTATCTGGCTGCCAGCAGAACCAGGAAGCAGATGGGAAAGAGAAGAGGCAGGGGAAACATCGAATTGGGAGCGTTATGTCCTTCGCGGGCTCCCGTAGTGCAGGGCCACCGCGGCGCAGTGCGCGGTCTTTTCAAAGCGCGAGACGTTCAGAGCGCAACGGCTGTTGCCGGGGTGCGACGGAGGAGGTCCGGGCGAGTAAGTCGTCGCTTCGGTTTTCTAGTCTAGGCTGGTGTGAGACGCTCGTAAGGTGTGTGTGGGGGAGGATAAGTTTTTCTCCCCTGTTCTTAAGCGTAGTTTTTAGTTCAGGAAGGGGAGCCTTCGGGGCCCTGGGAGGATCGCGGCGGGCGGCTTGGAAACCGGAGTCGAAACGGCTTAGGATTCACTCTCGCGGGGTGGCTGTGACTTTTGAGAAAAAATTCTCGCTTTCCCCGGAGTGTTTGAACCTCTCTGCTAACGTCGCTTCTCATTTTCTAGGCGAGGTGACTTGGCACCAGTCTCTGGCGGAAGCAGGATCTGATCCCGCAGCCTCTGTAAGCTGGGCCGGGAGGATCGATCCCTGGGGTCCTTTGGGGGACGGGGCGGGGGGACCCCACCGACCGTCTCATCCCGGCTTGACCCTTTTCCACTCAGCTTTCTTCTGTTTTATTTTTCCGTTTTAGGCTGCCATCCGTCTGCACCTCAATTTTGCCGTTAATATTTTGTTGAATCCTGGGGTGGTTTAGTGTCCGAAAGCTCTTGACGTCTGATCGAGGAGATCTGTTTAGCTTTTGCTGAGTCCTGTCAACTTTTTAGTACCGTTTCTTTTTGACGCTGTTATCTTTATAAGAGCCCGTGACCCAGGATTGATGTGGCTGTTAACAGTGAACGTCTGCAGGGTGTAGGTACAGACGTTGAGACAGCATTTGGGTTAGTGGACAAAAACTAAGGCCTAAACCCAACGGAGCATTCAATCATGAACAAGGTTGCCTTCAGACAGCTGTAAAATGGATGGGGTATACTATATTTAGGTGCAAATAATTTAGAAGTGAAAGGTGAGACTGAGTCATCAGGTGGCCCTAAAATGTGAAGGAATGTAAAGTAATTTCTATTTCGACCTAGTTGTTTTTGATTGGCAGTGACTTTTTTAAAAAGTCATTTCTGGTGCTTCTGAATATCAGATCTGCAGGCCATAGGGGAAACAGCTGTGAGACTTTCCCGCTTGCTCTACTTGCCAAAGGTTTTTTGCATTCTGCTTTGCTAGCTCCTCGGGGCTGCCTCTTTCCCTTCCATTTCTAGAGTTGGGATCCCTGGAACTACTTCTTCTCTGTCTGCACTGATGCTGTATTGTGTATCAGTGGTGGCGAACCTACATGCCACAGAGGGCTGTTTGTATCATTGAAAGCTCTGTTATTGTGTTTTTCTTTTAATGTATGTGTTCCTTTTTCTAAATTAAAACCTCAATATTCAGGTTTAATTGCAGTGTTGGCACTTTGCTGTGAAAAAGTAGGATTGGGTTGCATTTTGGACACTCGTTCTCTAAAGGGTTTGCCATCCCTGCCCTGCATGTCCTGACCTAGTCGTTTGGCTTTAATATCACTTGTCCGCTGATATCCACAAAGTCATGTCTTCCGGTTGGATTCCAGGATGCCTGTTTGACATTTTCATCTAGATGTCTAAAACACACACCCCAAAATGTGCTCCCAATCTCAGTGGTACCCCCATTTTTTCAGTTTCTTAGTCTAGAAAAGTTGGAGCCATTTTTTACTTTTTTATATTCCTAACCCCAGTTCACCCATCAGGAAATCAGGACATTTTCTGGAAAATTCCTATAGATGGGATCATCATACATGTGGCCTTTTGCATCTAGTTTCTTTCACTTACTGTACATATTTTCAAGGATCATGTCCCTATTCATGTTGTATAGCAGTTTATATTGTTTATCAGTGTACTGTACATCAGTAGTTTATTCCTTTTTATAACTAATACTCCTTTGTATGGAAATGCTATTACTTGGCTTATACATTCATAATCTAATGGATACTTAAAGGATAAAAAAGAAGTCCTGGTAAGTTTGAGAAAGATACTATATACCTTTTAACAAAGTGCATGTTATTTTATAATTTCAAAGCCCAGTAACTATAATAATACAATCATGCATAAATAATTGTACCTCTCTCAGTTTTCTCACTATGAACAAAGTTAGACTGAATATTTGCTGAGGTCTTTTTCTGTTCTCATTTTGCTTATGTGACAAAATGAGCGCTCATATTAGAAGTTTTCACGAATGACAGCTGTATCCTTTATAACTGCAGTTCCTTTTCATCATAGGATTTAACCGTGTGGTTGCTATAATGGAAGGAATCAATAATTTCAAGACACCAAACAAATTATCTGAGAAAAGGAAATCTGGTAAGAGTAGATTACTGTTGCTATAGAAATGTCTTTGTATTACTGTAGTTTGTTTCTGTATTATTTTTCACACATCTTTAGCTAAGTCCTCTGTGATATTAATCTTAACAAATACCACTAATAGAATGGGGTTTGGTCACCTGTGGACTGTTTTCTTTGCCATCCTAACGATTTGAAGGTTCTGCCTGATGAAAAATCAGTTTAGAGTTAGTAAACTGCTTTACCTTCCTCTTTCCTTGCATGCATTGCTCTCATGTAAGATATTTTCTAAGTCAATTCAGTGGGCAAAGAGAAATCATCAACAACTGTATGTCCAAAAAAACTTCGAACCTATAATCACATTATACACAAAAATAGCTAAAATAAGAACATTTCTCAATAATAACAATTCTTAAGTTGTTCATTTCTAGTGTGTAGATTTCTTTATATTCGGCAGTGATGCTAAATTCACTTACTCTATTAGCTTTTTCTTCTTCCCTCCTCCCCCACTCCCCCGCGGGATTGAACCCAGCCAAGAGCTTTCACACTAAACTACAGCCTCAATGCTTTTTCAAAATTTTTATTTTGAGGCGAGGTCTTATTGAGTTGTCCAGGCTTTCCTTGCACTTGGAATCCTCCTGCCTCAGCCTCTCAAGTAGCTGGAGTAATGGGTTTGCACCACTGTGCCTGGCTCTGTTAGCTTTTTTACAGATTGCTTAGGATATTTTAAGTAGTTGGTCATGTGTAGATGAATAAATAAATATACATTTATTTTTCCCCCAATCTGTATGACCTTTCTTTTTCTTATTGCACTGACTTCATTATATTTTTGAAGTTTTCATGGACATACTTGTCTTGCTCTCAGTGTATTATTATATTAGCTGTAGGCTTTTTGCAGATGCCCTTATCAGGCTGAGACATTTTCCTTCTCTTCCTAGTTATTATCATGAATAGGTATTAAATTTTGTCCAGTGCTTTTTCTGAACCTGTTGGTGTAATAAAGCTTTCATTTTTTAATCCGTTAAGGTAGAAAATTATGTTAATTTTCAAGTATTAAACCAACCTTTCATTCCTGGCATAAAACCAGTTTGGCTAAGATGTATTTTATGTATTGTCTGACTTGATTTGCCAATTACATCTTTTATTCATCAGAGATTTTGGACAGTAGCTGTCTTGTTTTTAGAATATCTGTCCAGTCTTCTAATATATATATATGTGCCCAGTACATACGTGTTATCTCTTTCTTTGGATGTATGCTCTGATACAAGGGTCAGTAAACTTTTTGAGAAAGGCCAGATAGTGCATAGTTTAAACTTGGAGGATTGTGTAGGGATTCTGTTGTATATTCTTTTTTATTTTACTTTTCAACAGTGCTTTAAAAATGTAAAAGTAATTCTTAGTCGTGAACCATACAAACAAGGTAATTTACTAATTTCTTTTTCCATGTTCGTGTAAGATAGAGTTCTAAAAGTAGATTTGATCAGAAGGTACCCATTTAAAATTAAGATTGGTAACTGTCAAATTGTTTTCCACAAGGATTATGCCATGTAATAGTTTGAAAAAATACATTAGGGTGCTTTGCAGAGGACTTTTCAAATATTAATTTTGTTTTTCTCTTTCTGACATTTAGTATGTTCAACTCCGTGTATAAATATCCCTGCCTCTCCGTTTATGCAGAAGCTTGGCTATGGGACTGGGGTAAATGTTTACCTAATGAAAAGGTGAGAGTGAGGTTTCAGGTTAACCTCTTTATAAGGGATGAGAAAATTCAAAACATCTAGATTTGGCATATGTTCCTGGTCCTACTTGACTGCTATATTCCAGTCCCTAGAAGTTGGAAAACTGCCAGAGCTCTGCCTGGTACACTTCTCTTAGCTTCCTCCTCATGGATTGTTAAGGGGAAGTAGTTTAGCTTATAGTTTTCTTGTGGCTTCTCTAAGAAGGGGAGTGGCAAAGGAAGGCTTTCGTCTGTGGAACTAACACAAAATTCTCCATGGGAAAACCCAAACAGGAAGCCAGTGGTGGGCATGCCAGTGACTGACCCTCTTGTGTCTGGAGAGTCACTATCCCAAGAATTTCCTTTCTTAAAGAAGGTAGAGGTTTTTCTTTCTTACAGATTCATTATTAAGAGGAAATAAATACATGATTTTAAAGATTTTAAATCATGTTAGAAGAAAAATGAAGTAATTGAACAAGTGTGGTACTATAATTTAGTAATATACATACTGGTAGTTTTTGTTTTTCTAAATTTCTTTCTTTTAATCATTATTCTTTGTTTAGTCCCATGTTTGTTAAATGGCAGGCAAATAATTTCTTAATTATTTTTGGAACCATCCTATTAATCCACTCTTTCTTGTAGTATCTTAGCTTTATCTAGATTTATATTCAAAACAAATTCTTTCTCTAATGAGGCTAATGATTTTAGATATTCTAGCAGTTAAGGGCTATTCCTGAAACATTTTTTTCAGTTTAAACATCTCTGTGTTTGCATGATATTAGTTTCTTTTGTAAACACTTGTGGGGGGGGCAGGTTTAATTTTGGTTTTTGTTTATTTTGAGTTTTTGTTTGTTTGTTTTGTTTTGTTTTGTTTTTGCTTTTGAGACAGAATCTAGTTATGTAGCCCAGGATGGCCTCAAAATCTCGATCCTCCTGCCTCAGCCACCCAAGTACTGGGATTATAGGTGTGGGCTGTCACATCTGACTTGGACTGGTCTACTTTTGCTTGCTTTGTTTTCCTGTGTTCTGTTGTTTTGCTCTTGTTCTCTGGGAAATTTCCTCAGCTTTAGCTTTTAAGGCTTCTATTATTGAGTTTTTTTCTTTTTTTTTCTGTCTTGTTTTTGACTTTTTGAAAATTTTTTGAAAATAGCGAACTGGTCCTTTGGGGTGCTAGAAATGTTCTATGCCTTGATCTGGTTATGATGACAGGAGCGCGTGTACACATGTAAAAGTTCTGAGCATTTAGTCAGCACATGGTCATTAACTCTTGCCCTTGCTGTGTACTTCATGAGTTTTCAGCTGCTCGTAACTGGGCTGCAGGCCCTGTGTTTTATCTCCTCCCAAAGCCAGTCTCTGGTCCTCAGAAGCAGAAGCTGGGGACTGCTGAGTGGTGCAGTCTTGGGGCTGGTTTCCAGGTGCCCGCCAGCTTTTCTCATAACTTCCAAACATTTCACTGGGTCTCTTAATCTCTTAGCTTTATCTCCTTTCCACCGTCTGAAATTTTGTTGCTGTTGTCTTCCTCTGTTTATTTCTATTCTTGTTGGTAGGAGCTTATGTCTTAAAATAGCCACTTGCTATTATTTTAGTGGGGCTCACAAAAGATAAAAATGTTTATGTTTAAGCTGCAATTTTTATCCAGAAATCTATATTCTTAAATGTTAAATGTTTGCTTTCCTAAATAAAAATCTAGCACAATTTGGATTACTTTTAAATAAAATGGTAGTTGTTTGCGGTGGCGCATGCCTGTAATCCCAGCACTGGGAGGCTGAGGCAGGAGGATCGCTGCAGTTTGAGGCTAGCCTGAACTACATAGCTAGACTCGTCTCAAAATATAAACAAACACAATAAACTGGTAAGATTCAGTTTGTTAATATTTGTTGGGAATTTTTGTATCTGTGATATAAGTATATGTAAATCAAATTTACTGTGATTTTCCTTTTTTTTTTTTTTTTGCTGTCCCTTTTTTATTTTTTAAATTAAAATTATACTATATTTATAGTCCCTAAAAAGCAGCTTTAATGCTGGTGCCTCAAAAGAGACTTGTGTCACTTTGTGAGCACTGAATTGATTGGTTCTTTATGTATGTCTTTTTACCGGTGAGGCCCACTTTTTAATTGGAGTTTCCCTGGGAATAGAGCAAGCAGGATTTACACAAAGCAGAGCCAGCGGGGGTAGGGGGTGCTGGCAGGACTTTCTTAGTCTCTTAAGTGCCTTTGGTGACACATTACAGAAGTTGTCATGGTTACTCAGGTGCATTCTACAAAGAACATAGTTACCTAGTTAACCCACAGTTGCCTAATCACACAGTTAACTCATAGTTGCCCAGTTGAGAGGTGGTTTCCTCTCATACTCACCTATAGAAATCATCTGTGTCTTGTATTTCTTGTAGGAAGATTTTAAATATTTGAGTAAATTTCTTCTTTAATCAGTTTTTTTTTTTTTAGTTTTAAATTTTCTTCTATATATACAAGTTGTTTCCCTAATTTTGTTTGAAATATTTATTCTTTTTGGTTTTTTCCTTACATAATCTTATCAGAAAGTTGCCTTTCCGTATTTTTGTTTCTGTTTTTGTTTGAGGCAGGGTCTCACTGCATTTCAAGCTGGACTTGAACTCACTGTGTAGCCAAGGCTGGCCTCAAACTCAGCAATCCTCCTGCTTCAGCCTCCTGAATGCTGGGTTACAGGAATGAGCTACCATGCCCAGCTCTTTTAGTCTTTTCAATGAATCGGCTCTTAGCCAACTTTTTATTCAGATTTCATAAATCTGTTCTGATGTCATTCTGTAGTTTAGAATAAATATGGACAAGGAGAAGGATGGATTTGTTCACTGAATTTTAAGCAGTACAATATTCCTGAAACTTGAAAAATATATTTTTCAGCATAAAATATGGAATATGTTCTTCCCCCAAATGCTGCTGTTATCTAAAACTGTAAGTTTAATAATAGTTTACGTAGACTTGTGGACGACAGATAATATGCTTATCATGTCTTATGACAAGTATCTTAGGATTATTTGAGTACAGACTTTTTGATGAAACAAAAAAAGTTCTGCAGTTTAATTTTACATTTCTGCCCATGAAGGAGTACAGAGAGAGGTAAACAGGTCATTGATTCAGTCAACTTTATCAAGTTTATCTTGTCTTCTTTTCACATAGTGCTGCAGCCTGAACCCAGGGCCTAGTGCACCATAAGCAAGAACTCTACCACCTCTGAGCTACCCCTGTGTCCTGATCTGTTATTTTATGTTTTTAGAGTTAAACTTTTTGTCCTGAATTTTTGAAGTTCTTTCACTAGGCTTTGTGTCCTTATATGATTTATACTTGTTTTACCCATTTGTTTATTTAAGGCCTTAAAACATTAAGACCTTAAATATTCATAAAATGGCTAAATTCTCTTAGAATATAAAAAGTTTACATTTTCCTCACCTGTAAGTTTATTTTTCTCTTCTAAGCACATCTTTGAAAATGTGATGAAAGGTATAAATAAAGTGAACTGGTCTGTATAGAAGTACAATATTTGTTGGTTAAAGAACAGCATGCTGTTCTTTGGGTGATTATTAAACAGGCCACATATTTTTGAGCATCTCTTCCTTAAGTTAAATTCCTTAAGGATTAATGTTTATGGCATTAGGTCTTATAACTCACATCTGATACATATAGTTTAATACTTTAAAGTAGTTGGTCGTCTGACATGTTAGAATAGAAAATTAAAAAAGAGTAGCAGTTTTCATATTTTAAATTAAAACATTCCATCTATATTCTTCTCTTTTGATCCCCTCAGTATCGGACTTCTCTCAGTAGATATGATACTTATCTTCCAGTTGAAGTAGAATGCAGCAGAGTGTTAATAGTGTAAATATTTTAAATTATTAAATTTAAAAATTATTAGTTGTTTTTTTGTTTTATTTTGTTTTTTAAGATAGGGTCAGTCTCACTTTATAGACCAAGCTGGTCATGATCCTCCTGTCTCAGCCTCCAAAGTGCTGGGATTATAGGAATATGCCACTGTGCCTAACTAAATATTGTTTTATTTTTTAAACAAATTACTGTTGAGATCTTTTTGAAATCTGAAAGTTCTCATTGGTCATGTGAAAATATATTATGGTATTTATCCATTTCTATACTGTTTATTATTACCATTATTATTATTTAGATCTCCAAGAGGTTTGTCTCATTCTCCTTGGGCTGTGAAAAAGATTAATTCTATATGTAATGATCATTATCGAAGTGTATATCAAAAGAGACTGACTGATGAAGCTAAGATTTTGAAAAGCCTTCATCATCCAAACATCGTGGGTGAGTATAAATTTTTGGTTGCAGTAAGTGGTTCAGTAATACTCTGTATACCCAGAAACAACATAACACTCTCTTAAGTAGTTTCAGTAGTAAAAATGAAGAGGATGGGGCTCCGGAATGTAAGGAATCGGGCTGGAGATGTAGGTCAGTGGCACTGTGCACCTGTCTAGCAAGCGCAAGGTCCTGAGTTTGATTCCCCGGTACAGAAAAGAAAGAGGGGAGGGGAGGGGCCCCAAACAAACAGAATGTAAGGAATTAAGTTAATGTGAACAGTCTAACATAAACATTCACATAAGATATTTTTTAGATGCTCATGTGTATAAACTTCATGGGGATAGAGCAGTCATGACAGTGCTGGTACTAAGAAGATTTCAGAAGTATAAAATGATCTTAATGTAGATAATTTGGTCCACTTAGATAGTTTCCTTGTTTTCAGTTTTCATTTTTAGTACTGGTAGGACTGTACTCTTAAGAGAAGCACAGAGTAATAAAGATATTTTACTTTGCAGTACAATGGCAAACAATGAAGGCATTTTACATTAGATCTTGTGAGTTAGATAAAGTAAGTAAAAGCTGTTTCAGCACGTTAGTCCAGGCCCATGTTTTCAGTTGCATTACTATAGATGCTTAAGTACTGTTCTTACACTGCTAAAAAGTTATCATGTTTCCTTAAGGTTATCGAGCTTTTACTGAAGCCAGTGATGGCAGTATGTGCCTTGCCATGGAGTATGGAGGGGAAAAGTCTCTAAATGACTTAATAGAAGAGCGATACAAAAACAGCCAAGGTCCTTTTCCAGCAGCTATAATTTTGAAAGTTGCCTTGAACATGGCAAGAGGGTTAAAGGTAATGATACCATCATATTTTAAATAACTTTTGTGGACTCTGAACAGACCAAAAACTTAATACATAATGACAAAGTGGATCTGTTTTATATTCTCTCAAAAGAGGGAGTTTCTTTAAATTCAAGTCTTTATAGTCTCATTTTGCAGAATGTGCCATTTCCTTATTTTGATCAGCAAAATATTGTTTGTAGCCTTCAGATAAACCCGAAGTAACCTAACTCAGATGGTTTTGTATTAGAGATCACATGTTACACTTAGTTAAATGGATGAATAAGTTTAATACAAATTTAGTAGTTGTTCCTGGGAATATAACCTAACCCCTTGTAAACACAAGAAAATTCATGATTATTTTGTCGGTATTAAGTTTTGGACATCATGAGCATTCATTTATAGGTCTGATGACTAAAGATTAGTGTTATGCAAAAAAAAATTACTGTGCTTTTGGGCAGACATGATAAAAGGAATAAAAGTTCTATATACCAGATTACTTAAGCAGAAGTAATAATGGCTCCAGAAAACTACTGGATGACTCAAAAGTGGACCAGGTAACAAAGATACTTAAGTCAAAATTTCATGTTAAGAGTTTTAATGTGGACCGGGGATTTAGCTCAGTGGTTCCTCCTCCTGCCTTGCAAGTGCAAGGACCCAAGTTCAATCCCCGGTACCAAAAAAAAAGAGTTCAAATGAAATTGATTTATGCAACAAATTGGGGAAAAAGTAAAGTTTCTAAAAATTATAATACATTTATAGAAGACCAACTTTAAATGCATAGAATAAATAGAAAAATCTGAATTATTAATAGCTAAGGACTTGAAATGTATTTGTATAATGAAGTTAATTAATTACAGTGTGAATATTATGGGCCTATTCACTGTATGTTGGTAGCACTACGTGAAGCATAGCTCAGTGTCCCTGTGTAAAGAGCAAATCTATACCAAAAATGGTCTCTGCATCATTTCTAAGCTGAGCTCATACTGAAGTTCTCACATGCTGAAAAATGAACAAGTGAACATTTTTTAAAATGTATTTTTACTTGCTGAATCCAAAAGGGGTTAATGCTGGACATGGTGTTGCACGCCTGTAACCCTAGCACTTGGAAGGTGGAGGCAGCAGAACTGCTGTGAGTTCAAGGCCAGCTTAGACTACATAGTGAGACCCTACCTCAAAAAGCAGGGAAGCACTAAATCGTTTAACAAAATAGTGTTAGATTGCATTTCTGCTTCTAAATTATATGTAACCTAAGTCATCTATCAGTTCTGCATTATCTTAATAGTTTGAGGAAACTGCTTCATTGTAAAGATTCCAAAATTGTTTATAAAATACTAGCCTCAAGTAAAATTGAAGTATATTTTGACATCTGTAGCACCTTCGGTATAAAAGTATATGGGATTGGTTTGAAAATACAGTTAATTTATTTATCTAAAGACATTTTAAAAGAATCTTTTAGTAATTACATGGATGTTCTGTGCCTGACTTCAAATAATAAGTGTGTAGTTTAGGATGAGAATTCAAATCATTATTTTTACTTGAAAGTTGTATTTTTATTAGTTTGTATTTTTGCTCATAGGTGTTAAATTTTTTATAATTTTAGTATCTGCACCAAGAAAAGAAACTACTTCATGGAGACATAAAATCTTCAAATGTTGTAATTAAAGGTGATTTTGAAACAATTAAAATCTGCGACGTAGGAGTTTCTCTCTCATTGGATGAAAATATGACTGGTAAGTTATATTGTTTAAAACTTGTAATGTTAGAAATTTTTAAATTTCTGATTTTTACCTTTAAAAATATGTAATCCTCATTTTTCAAAAGTTTAAGATGACTGTAAATACAGTGGGCCTTTGACTCATGAACTCAGTTCGTTTGTGAAGGCTGGTTGTTACTCACGTTGGTCAGTTGGAGGCTCAGGCTCCTCCACACAGCCTTCAGTCTCTCTCCTGTACACAGGCAGCTCTTGGTGTCCTTAGACATTGGGCCAGAATTCACCCCACACAGAAAGGGTTGCTGTCACGGTCCTTCTAGAGCTCTTTAAGGCTTAAATCTGTATCTGAGACCATCTGGAAGCGCAAGCAGCTGGCGTTTGGGTCATAACTCAAGACTTTGTTTGTAAGTTAAAACTGAAATTCCAGTCGTAATCCACATTGTTCTTGTCAGGCTGGTCTTAACTCAAGGCTCTGTCGATGTAATAAAAAGTACCTTTCCTTTTCTATGTTGCATCCACTCGGCCCAGTCCCTCCCATTGCCACGTGCATGATATAAGTTATTGGCTTCTTATTACTGTAGACTTTCACTGACATTAACTTTGGTAAATATTTCTAATCCGGATTAAGATGTTTAAAGTGTAATAAGGTTGTTTAGTTTTTTTGTAATATTGGTGATTGAACTTAGGGTTTCACACTTGGTAGGCAAGCTCTCTACTACTGGGCTACATCCTAAACCCTTTTTACTGTGAGACAGGGTCTCACTGAGTTGCCCAGGCTGGCCACAAACTTGTATTCTTTCTGCTTTAGCCTCCTGAGTAGTTGGGATTATAGGTATGTATCACTGCAGTTGGTTTAATAATACCTGTAAAAGAAATGCCTTAGTAAAATGATGAAATTTGGGAAGAAACAAATTCAACTGCTAGAAGAAACAAGTCAACTAGGAAAGAGTGGTGCTAATAAAAGTCAGTCTTCTGCTTTTTGCTCCTTGGTCCAGCACAACCCTCTCATCCCTGTTTTTTGTATACGGACAATTCTAAGAAATTCAAGATTCATTTTTGGTAAGAGCCAAGAGCCATTCTTGAGAATGCTTCCGCTTTTAACATCTTACTTAGCAAGTAGCATTTACATTTGTCCCTGTATGAATGTATGTTACAGGGATGGCCTGCACGTGCTGTTCAGAACATATAGCTGAAGTAAAAGTTTATGTTGTTGGAGGCAGAAACCAGGATAGAGTAACTATAATGATGTCTCTAATTGTTAATAAAAATTGAACTGTTGTGAATGCTAACTGCTACAAAGTTGAAACTTTAGGAAATAAATTGTCAAGCACAATAAAAATAAGATCTTTAAGTGTAATTTTTTTCAAACCTCAGTAGAACAAATAGATAAAAATACACGTATAAAAGATCTGATTTAATAGTATGTTGATCTCTCTGCATTAGAACATTTATTAAAATTAAGCTGGGTATGGTAGTGAACATCTGTAATTCCAGTTACTTAAGAGGCTGAAACAGAAAGGTCACGAATTTGAGACTCAGGGCAATTCAGCAAGACTCTGCTCCCTCAAAAAATTATTAAAATTGACCATATATTAGGTAAGTCACAAAGGCAAACAACATTACAAAAAGTAGTTGTCTCTAATAGTTGACATTTATTGATGCCAGTGCTACAAATCCAGAGGTTTACAGCAAACTGGAAACAAAAAGTCCAGTTTTTTTCGAATTGAAAACATTTGTAAATAAATCTTGTCTGACAGAGGAAACCCAATTCCAGTTTAAATATTTAAAAAATAGGAATGTTATACACCAAAAATTAAAAGACCCAATTAAAAAAATGGGCAGTTGAAATGAAGAGACTCTCAAAGGAAGAAGCAAAAATGGGCAATAAGTACATGAAAAAATGCTCAGTATCTTTGCCCCTTTATAGAAATGCAAATGAAAAAACACAGATTCCATATTACTCCAAAAAAGAATAGATATAATTGAGAACTCAAATCTTAGCAAATTAACATCATTTACATTTGTAAATAGTGGTGAGGCTGTGAGGGAAAACGGAACCCTTTGACATTGTTGGTGAGAATATAAACTATCAATAGATGAATGAATGGATAAGGAATATTGATATTTCTACACAGTGGAGTACTGTTTTTTCATGAAGGTTAAACTTGAGTCAGTTGTAGGAAAATGGATGCACTTTGAAGACTATAATCTTAAGTGAAATCAGTCAGACACAGAAGGTTCAATAGTGCATGGTTTCTCTAACATGAGAAACCCAAGATATAAGTAAAAAGCAAAATAAAAGATAAATGATAGGAAACAGGGAGAGGTAGACTTCGTGGAGATGGGAGATAGAAGTAAAAATTAAGATGCAATATGTTTATGTACCAATTCCCCAAGATGAATGTATTATGTGTTGAAAACATTAAAAAAAATCAAAACCTATTGGATATGGTTGAGATTACTCAAAGGAAAACATTTCTATTTAACTTTTAAGAAATTAAATTGAGCATTCATCTTAGACGTAAAACAGATGAAACCCTAAGGAAAATAAAGCAGAAGTGAATAAACTATAATATCACCAAAATCCTTGTTTGATCTATTTTAGAACATCTCTCAGTGAATCTAAAGTTCAGCCTTGCCAGGCTTGGCGGCACATGCCTGGAATCTTAGAACTTGGGAGGCAGACACAGGAGAACTGCCGAGTTCAAGGCTGTCTCCAACTACATAGTAAGACCCTGCCTCAAAAGAACCAAACAAAAAATTCATTCCTTTAGTACATATTCAAACACAGCTAGGAAGATTCTATGAAACAATGGTGAGGAATCTTTCTGACCAAATGTTTAAAAGTTTGGGCTGGGTGTGATAGCACAAGCCTGTTAGGCCATCTCCTTGGAAGGCTAAGGCAGGAGGATTTGAGCAACTTAACCACTTATTTAGTTCAATTATTTAAATACATACAGGATGGCCAAAATTTGTGTCCCTTTTTTTTTTGGTTATTTTTATAAGCTGATATGACAGGAAATATAAAAATGACAGTTTTATCAAATTTATTCAGTACAAGATTAGACTGGTTGAAATGATACCTTCCTGAGCAGTGCTCGGGACAGTCAGTGTGTAAATAAAAGCCTTGCCGGAGTTTGCTTGGGTGAGAGACTGTTATGTGGTTAACGACAGATCTCTCTCATCTCAGAAGAGAAGGCGGAGGCTGTGAGTGTAATGTAGTGGGAAACCTTGGGTTCAGTCTTAATACTGTGAAAAAAAAAAAGGTTTTGTAAAGTTTCAATAATTAAAGCAGCAATATGCATGCCAAAATAGGCAGAACATAAGGCAGTCGAGAAATGGAGGAATTTAGGGTCGGGGATTTAGCCCAGTGGTGCCACCATCTGCCTGCCTCGAAAGCACAAGGTCCTGAGTTCGATTCCCAGTACCAAAAAGAAAAGAAATGAATTTACTCCCAAATAGAGGAATTTATTATGTGATAAAGGTGACATTTTTGTTTTAGGAAGAGGTAGTTTAATCAATAAATGCTGTTATCTGGATACTTTCGAAAAAATACAACCTTTCTGCCCTAGCATTTTAATAACATTTCCTTCAGCTTGAACCACCTGTGGTACTTCTATGTCCGTCTCATGGGTACTTTGTACCGCTGGTGTTACAAATGAATCCAATTACTTTCATCAGTCTTTTTACTAACAATATTAATAAAAGCCACCCATGGGACAGTCATGCACCACCACTGAGTGGTTCACACACCCAGCAGCAAGATGTATGAATTACAGCCCCATGTGGAACATTTTAATCCCCATAGATTGGAGATTGGGGGAAAACTAAAATAGAGAAGTTTTAGGTAATATTTCCTTAGTGTTGGGTTTGAGAGGACTTTATTACCAAAACTAGAAAGTGTTTTTAATAAAAAGAAGCTTTCATTACTTGCAATTTTAAAAAATATTTCTGGGGCCAGGGATTTAGCTCAGTGGCATTGTGCCTGCCTTGCAAGCATAAAGTCCCAAGTTTGATCCCTAGTACCACAAGAAATATATATATATATATATATGTATGTATTTCTGTATGTGGCACTGGGGAGAAGAGAGGGAGATTAAGACATTACAAATGGAGATGATGTATGAAATAAAAGGTTAATATTTCTTTTCTTTTTTTTTTTTTTTTTTTTTT